TACGTATTGTTGGTGAATAAATAGTGTTGCTCCCAAGACAACTTCTGCGACTCAGTTGGACTCATTACAACTGGTGTCGGTACCGGCCAACTTGCTAGGCTATAGCTCGTGGTAGACGGAAGATGTCTACACGTCGCAGAGTTCTTGTGTGAGCGTCAGATGACGAAGACGACGACGAGCTGATTCCGCCCACGGCTGCCGAGGACGGAGCGGAGACGCTGCCCGCGGAGCAGGGCGCAGTCGGGGCGCGGGGCGCCTCGCCTTCTGTTAAGGAGCTGGTCAGGGACGTGCGTGGCCATCTCGCTGACCTCCAAGCGGCATCCTCCGTCCTCATCGAGATGCGGTCCTTCCCTTCGACGGCGAAGGAGGGAGCGGCGGAGCTGTCTGAACGGGGTGACTTGGCCGCCATTTCACAAAGGGCGGGAACGCCATCGCCACTGCTCACGCTCGCGGGCGCCATTTTGCCGCCGGCGGGGAGCGCGGAGCCCGCCATGCTTGAAGGGGGGACGTCTTCGTCATTTGACGTCCAATCGCTCCGCCGTCGGCTGCCCTTCATTAAATAATTTAATGCCGCCAGCAGAGATTGGGTGGCATTTAAACGAAGATTTCTTACGAATGCCGACGTGGCGGGGTGGTCGGAGGCGGACGCGCTGAATGCGCTTCCCGCCGCCCTCGATGACGATGCGCTGGCGGCGTTCCTCTCCATCCCGCCGTCCGAGAGGTCGACCCTCAGGCGTTTGACCAGATTGCCGCCACTTTTGAGTCTCCGCTGAACACCCACCAGAAGTTTGCGGTGAGACGGAGAGGTGACGCTGAATCGGCCTCGCGTACCGGAGTGCGCTTTTGGCCCTGGCGAAGGCCGCGTATCCGCTCATGGGTCACGATGGCCATGATGCCCCGGTGCTTGAGAAGATATTGGAGCTCGCCAAGGATCTTCGCACTGTGCTTCCCGCCGACGGCGGGGACGTGTCTTCGCTCAAGATCGCCAAGTGTATCCAGGCGCAGCAGACCCTGTAGCGTGACAGGGTGTTGGTGGCGGGCTCCGCGTCTTCCGCGGAGCCCGAGGGTCACACGGTTGGAGAGGCCGTGTCCGCGTGCTCGTTGCATCGGCGGGACGGCGATCGACGGGGTGACGGTGATTGGCGGCGGGACGACCGGCGGCGGGCGGGGTCTGCTTCATCCCGTTCCAGCGACGGACGGGTCACTTGCAACAACTACGGCCTGCCGGGGCATGTCCAGTCGGGCTGCCGGGTTCCTCAACGGCGGGCCTTGGGTCGTCCGCCTTCCTAAGGCGCCGTGCGATTGATGCCTCGCACGCGGTCGCTCGTGTCGGCCTCGCGTGCTCGGAAGGCCAAGGACCTGACGACCCGGCCTACTGCTCTACGTGAGGAGCCGGCTTCGTCGGGTCGATTCCTTGCTCCCCCCGGCCCTCCCAAGGCGGTCGAGCCCAACCCGTCTGGAGGACCGGCGTCACGGACTCGTTCAAAGACTCGATTTGCATGATCCCGCACATTGCACACTCCCACATCGTCATGGGGTGTCGCGCTCGCGTGAGTCATGGCCAGTGTTTGGCTGATCCTGCTCGCCATCGAGCTCACAAGCGTTATTACACGTTGAGGGTGGGAGATGTTGATTGTGGGGATTTCGTGTGCCGTGGTTGTCGGGTTGACCGGTTGTTTTTTTTCTTCTTGTTGTCAGGTGTATCTATTGTACAGTTCGGTTGGGTTATTTATTGTTGCCTTGTTATGTTGTTGGAGCAAACTTGTTGGTTGTTATGTTAGTTTACGTCGGTTGCTTGCTTTGGAGGGAGTTAGCAGCTGGGACGGCTGGAAGCTACGTGGGGGGGGGGGGGGGGGGGGGGGGGTGATGTAGTGACTGTACTTGTCACTGTGTGGTGCCGGGACTTGCGAAGTCACGGCCTGGTAATGTCATTGCGGGCAGCCCGGGTTGCGGGCTGCAGTACCAACACTAGCGGTGGTTGGGTGAGCGCTGGTTAGCGCTCGGAGGCACCGCGAGCAGTGTGGGGTGCCGGCTCCCAGTGAGGGAGCGAGAGCGAGCGTCAGCCAGCCAGGGATACCTTGGGGCATGATACTCTGGCTGACCTGTTGTCACGTGACCGGACGATACTGGAGGGGGGCCACCGGTGGACGGGGGCCGAGGGGCGGTCACGTGGTCCCGAAGAGCTCTCGGGGACATTCGTGAGGCAGCTCGAGGAGCCTGGAAGGTGGGTGGGGCTAAGGGTAGAGCCAACCCCAGCCCGGGGACATATAATAATGAGAGCTTTGTAAGGAGCTCAGGGTTTTTAAAGTGTTAGTGTTCGAAGATCCTCGTCGGGGAGAAGAAGCCTCTCTCTAGCCACGAGGTCCGGGACCCAGCTTGTGGTCCGGACCGGGATCGCGAACCGTGTCTAGTTCTGCCGTAGCGTGGTTAGATGGGCATTCGAGACCCGAGCGTAGGTTGTGTTATGTTACGTATTGTTGGTGAATAAATAGTGTTGCTCCCAAGACAACGTCTGCGGCTCAGTTGGACTTACTGCACACGAAACGTCTTGAACTTAAATAGTTTCCTTTATTTTAAAGCGATAACGAAAACGCATGGTATTTTATGCCACCAGCCTCTTGTCTGTAAGCTCCTAAGCTCTGTTCAAAGAACGATAAATTGCATACAATTGGACGAGTTGCAGTAGTTGGAAAAATGCCATGTGGTGGTGTCAGCCTTGAGGAATAACAGTTGGAGAGACTGCAATGTGGAAACACTTCCAGAAATGTGGTTCAGTGGTTCATTTTGAGAATATTCCTTCTGGCCTAATGTGCCAATTTGTGGCAGAAAACGACTCAAAATTGTTTTCAGGTGACCATAAGCGCATCTCCTTTCGCACATTTTCTTCATGTTCAACAAAAAAAAACCCTATTGTCTTGAGTTGTCAGTGATTGTCACATGCCAGATGTAAAAAAATGCGATTACATTTAATGATTACAACTGGAATTTTTCCAAATTAGATGATAAAGGTTTCAAGCGACGTGGCAGTTTCTGTTAAGGCATTGCTTGAACCCAGCCGGGACAATCGAGTTGATCATCTCAACTCACTCTTTATAAAAACAGAAACCTGTTTAGTCTGCAGTGGTCGAAATCCGGATTTTAAATCAGGAATTTGCCAGTGCCAGCCCATTGTTACACCTGAGCTATTCAGCCACATCATCCATCCTATACAGCTGTCCATCCACATCCATCCTATGCAGCTATTCTGCCACATCATCCTATACAGCTATTCTGCCACATCATCCAATGAGGTTAATTATTTGGTTATGATGCTACTGCTGCTTTGGCAGTTGTACACAAAAATAATTAACAACTCTCCAACACGTTCCGTGTCAATAACACTGGGGCCCTACAAGGGAGACGTGTATAATAGGCGACATTTCAGGCAATGCCCCTTCTTCAGAACACACAAAGGAATGTGCTTTGAAAGCACGTGCTTTGAAGAAATGCCAAAATGTCGCCTTTAGAGTATTAGTAATTCCTTATGAGGCAGTGTTATTGAGGAATGTGTTGAGTTTTTTTTCATTGTGAGGTAAATGTGTGTACAGTTCGCTTGTTCCATCCACTGCTGCATGACGGCCTCCTGTGGGACAGTGAGATATATTTTGTCCATACTTCACCACGCTGGTCGGTGCCGCTCACCGAAGAAACCCGAATAGGGGAGCGTAGATTGTGTTTACTTTTTCTGCATCACTCTATTGCTAAAACACCACAAAACAGGTGAAGAATGACACGAGAGAATTGGATTATTTTTTGGTAACTTAGTTTGAATGGCCATTTTTGCATTTGAGTTTTTTCGATTTGAAAATTTACATAGCAACACACTATTGTAACGCATTTCAGCACATTTATTAAACCTCGCTTAACTAATAAATAAATGTTTGCTTTTCTAGATTTAAAGCTTTCGTGACTGCTAGGATCCATACTCTTTGGTTCTATTGGGTAAAGTCACGTAGCGCTGTCCTCCAGACAGTCTCGTCCCTTCACCTGATGAAGGCCGCTTGTGTTGTGGCCGAAACGTCGTGATTTTTTGTTATTTTATTTTCACCTACGTGACTTTACCCAATAGAACCAAAGATAATCTTCTTTGGTTCTTTCGGTAAAGTCACGTAGAATGAGAATAAAATAATAAATTGATAAAATAAAATAACACAATAATATTCTCACGACGTTTCGTGTTATTTTATTTTATCAATTTATTATTTTATTCTCATTCTACGTGACTTTACCGAAAGAACCAAAGAAGATGAATCATTGCAGTCACGAAAGCTTTAAATCGAAACCAAAGAGAATGTTTGCTTTGCTTTGTTAGACCTAAGGTGGGGCTGCAGGAATGATAGTTATTTGACGAAAGCTCAGAAACCCATGGGACTCAGGTGATGGTTGGTGGGGGAGAGGGGGGGCTGGGATGGGAGGGGGGGCTGGGATGGGGGGGGGCGGGTGAAGGGGGGGTGAGGGGGCAGGGGGGCGGGGGAAGGAGGGGGAGGAGCGGAAGGGGGCTGGGGGAAAAGGGCGCGGGGCGGGGGGTAGGGGGGAAGAGGAGGAGGGGTGGGGGTAGGGGGAAAGAGGGGGAGGGGTGGGGTAGGGGGAGGGTGGGGGTAGGGGGGAAGAGGGGGAGGGGCGGGGGGTAGGGGGGAAGAAGAGGAGGGGTGGGGGTAGGGGGGAAGAGGGGGAGGGGCGGGGGGTAGGGGGGAAGAGGAGGAGGGGCGGGGGGTAGGGGGGAAGAGGAGGAGGGGTGGGGGGTAGGGGGGAAGAGGGGGAGGGTAGGGGGGAAGAGGAGGGGCGGGGGGTAGGGGGGAAGAGGGGGAGGGGCGGGGGGGTGAGAAGGGTAGGGGGGCGGGGCGAGTGGGCAGCCCGTCCCCCTCCCCAACTCTCCCCCACGCTTCTGCTCGGCATGTGTCGCGCCCTCCCATTGGCCGGCGAATGTCGACGCGCACGCTCGTCGACCAATGATGAGAGGTTCTGCGGGGGTCGTGGGGGGGGAGGCCACCGCCGTTTTGGGCCCCCTTGCTGCAGCGGCTCGTCGGGGAGCAGTCGGTGGCGGGCATCGGAGGCTCGCGCGTTACAGTTGCGTGTTCATTAAAACCACAAGTCCTTTTACGACAATTGAACATTAACAACTTTGGTGAATTGACGCGATGCGTCCGACTCAACGCTCGCTTGGTTTGTTGTTGATGGTGGTGGTGTTAGTTTTTTTATAAATTGGTTTCTCTGAGTAACGGAACCGCCCGCCCGCCACCACCACCACCACCCTCCTCAGTCCGTAATGTGGGCGACCACGGCTGGTCGCTAAACGCGAGTCAGAAGGCGCCCGCGGCGAGAGGAGTGGAAGAGAGAGAGAAGGACGGTGATCATATTTAGCCTCGGATCCTGCTGTCAGTCACGGTGAGGTTCGTAACAGCACCACCACTACCACCATCATCACCAACAACAACAACAACCGCCATCATCATCAGCAGCCGTAGTCATTCCACTGCTGGATGATGGCCTCCCCCGGCACTCCGTGGCCGAGTGTCGGTTCTGTCGTTGCCTTGTACTTCCATCGTGTTGTGGGCCATGGTCAGTCCACTAATGGACGAGTCCATCGCACTCCCCCCCATTGCCAAACATCGCGCGTCGTGTGAGGGGATTTTACTCGCCATACCTCACCATATGTTGGGCTGGTCGAAGGCGCGCGGAGCATAGAAGTGCAGTATAACCACACTTACCCGTGGAATGGGTTCGCCCTGCAACCTCACAATAGTCGTTGTCAAGCGAGGTTAATCGACTGCTGGATGAGGGGCCCTCCACAGGGGTCATTTGACTATTACTTCACGCTGACCAGTGTGCAGGTTGGTGGGTAAAGGCGGGGAGCATAGAAGTGCACTACAATACTTTACATAAATCGATTTTGCTGACTTGCTTCCCCCACCCTCCCCCTACTGTATCCTGTGTACCGGTGTTACGATATACGAACCTTGACAGGACGGATGGGTCAAAATATTCATATTTGACCAAATGAAACAGAAGCTGAAATGCAAAAAAAACATATAGTTTGTGTGGAGAGATTAAAAAAAAATCGCGTAACACGAGCACGTTGAGGAGGAAGGAGTTCTTTCAGCACATCATCGGATAATTACTTGCAATTGTGCCCGTGCAGTACAGTAGTTGTGTCTCTGTAAGGCCATGCATGTGGGGATAGTGAAGTTACAGTTGCGTGTATTTGTGTGAATTCTAGATTTGAAGCTTTCGTGACTGCAATGATCCATAGAGTTATGTATTTGCGTGCTTTTAAGGACGCGTGTATGTATGCGTCTTTTCATGAATGGGAGTGACGCGTGCCGTTTCAAGTGCAGGGACCGACCGAGGTGGTTTGTGGCGTAGGTTTGAACCACGACATGGCAACGGCGTTGAAGTAGCCTTCATTGGGCGGTTCATAGACCACGCGTTACAATAACGACGATGCCGTCTAAACGCACGTTATAAAGTGTCTATGGAGGTGTGGTACAACTCCCGTGAAAGACGTGAGGGGGGTGGGGAGAGGCTTGTAAACCCGCCGTGTGTTGGAGATTCTCTACTCGAGTGGGATGTATGCACATCAAGTTGTCATCCTCTGTACGCGTCCCCATCATGTACGAGCTGACAATGACACAGTAGTTATAATATTTGCAGCACGTTATACGGTGTGCGAGGCATGCATATTGTGCGCACAATGGCTTTTGTGTGTACGGTATTGCTTTTTTTTGCGTTGAACGAGGATTTGTCCATGGTTTGTATGCGGATGCAGTGTGTCTTGCAAGTAACGTGTGTGAACATTATGGCGGGACCCCGGGGTTTCCCATAAGCCCCCGGCTCTCGCAGAAACTGCGTTGCGACGTTATTTTACGTCTGTCGAAGGCGAACGACACGGCGATCTATTCCTCTCGACGAGCTCCACGCGATGCGCTAATCGAAGTTTCAAAGTTTTGTTTGAATCTTGCGCCATTCGTCCTCGCCGCTGCGCTTGGACACGACATCAGAAATGATTTTTGCGCCGGGTGGGTTCGTGGCGTTGATGTGCGCGGTAGGACGGAGTCGCCAAAATTTTGTTTTAATTCATCACGATTTTGACTTCCGTTTATTCGGGACCCCGGAGTCGCCCACCGTAAGGTTCACGTGGTTAATCCAGAAGCATTTGTTTTCTGGCCCAGACTGCCGATGGTGCTCGATGTTAAAAACTTTTTTTTTCCTGCTTTTAGACACGCTGCCCGATAGTATGTCTGAACACGCAATATGTTCATGTACCACACATGAATTTATATTCGCATACAATAGAAATTTGGTTGAGCGTGCGTATGCATAGCCAAAATAGATGAAGATAGAAAAAAACATTTAGTGCCAACAAATTAGCGTTACATAGAAATATGTAGTGACGCATTCTATGCCGAAGTAATGGTGGAATAAAAAAAATGTTTTCGAGCCAGAATTGAGAAAGAGGAAACTGTCGTGACTCAAAGGTGAATGGTTACCTTTTGGACAAGTTTTAGCCGGCGGGTTTCCTTTTCATGTCAATTAGCACGCAAATGTTACCGTCAGTGAGACGAGTTGGAAACTCAGAATAATGTACTGTACCTTGTAATTTTAGGCCATTTGCCAACTGCATTCGATTCGGTTAATACAGTGGTTCTTGTACCTTTACTGTAGCCTTTCACCCTCATGGTTCTCAGTCGTTGAAACAATGTATAATGTTAATAAAGACATAGCTTTGATGAATCAAAGTAGTTGTACTTATGTGCCCGTGCTTAATTTGTGTTTCGATTATTTACCTTCTAAAAAAATTCTGGCCGTGTCTCACACCCCCAGGGAGGGCATCTCGTTACCCCCCAGGGTGTGCGGCCACGCCAGGTTAAGAACCACCAGGTTGAATATAACTGTGACATCACGAATCTTGTCAGACTTGTGTCAGTCCACTGCTGAATGAAGGCCTCCTTCCCCACGTGCTGTGTCAGCAATCGTGGGAGTTTGGATCTGGCCATATTTGCCGACGCTGGCTTCGGATGAAAAAGGGGCATGCCCCAAGACTGGTTCAGATGTTAGTTAGTGGACCTTGGCAAGGAATTGAGCCTCCGGTCACTACCCTTTTAAAGCTTTACGTCTCCGTAAGTAGAATGGGAGATGTGTTACGACACGCGTGTGCCTGTTTAACCAGGATTTGGGCACTAGCTAAAAATGAAACGACATTGGACACGTCGTCCTAACAGCAATATACAGGATGTCCCTGTTTCGTAATCATGTGGGTGGCACATCACTGATAAAGGAGGTTAATACTTGGCAGTGAACAATGGGGGACTTGTATACGTGCCATCGTTTCTCGAAATATATTAACAATACCTGAAAATTGAGATGATAAAAAAAAGTTTTTTTAACCGTTTTGTTACATAATTCAGGATATTTTTTTTTGTTTGGACTGTTCACTTCCATTGTAGATACACGTTTAAGGTTAAATGAAAAGGTAACTCGCCCGAAAAGGGTGGGTGGAATTTTCGCTACCTGCTCGCCATTAGAAGGGATGATATAACAACACCCGTGTGTTGTTTTGGAAGACACTCTTTGTGGCTTTGATGTCACATTACCAAAAACCTTTAAATAATGCAGCACTTTAACGTGTAACGTCGCCTACGTTCGAACATCACGATTGTCTAAGTTGACTTTAGAGTAAAACTACGAAACGCTTGTATGTGTGTGTATATATAGATTCGAGGAATTTGCTTCGCTCATAGTACACGTATTTTGCATTCGACAATTTAAAAAAATAAATTCACGTCTTTAGATTTTTATACGAAAACTTTTAATGCCATCGGTATTATCCTTTAATGCTTTTCCAACGGTGAGGTTTCAGTTGAGTGTGAATGCCTCGCACGTCTGCACCATTAATATTCTCCGTGCACAGTTGACCACCGTTTCAAGGGATCGTCACAGTTTGCCTCATTGCATGTACCGATGTTGTGTTAAAACTTGAGAACAGTGTTGTCACGGAAGTGTGGTTTGCTCCCGAATCGTTTGTCCACGAGTGCTCCTGAACACAAACCTCTATGAGACACCGACACAGAGCACTGAATCATAATCCTAATGTCACAAACCGACGACGAGGCGCCTTTAGACAAAGTGCCCAGGTCACCGGTGCATTATTGTACGATATTGTGAAATTCTCTCTCCGTTTGAGAATACAGTTACGGGTATTGTATCCCCCTCTTACTACGCTGCATTTGTGCCTCTAAAATAAGGAATTGATTTGTCAGACTCGTACATCCACACCCGTACAAAATAACGTGAGGTAATGCAGTTTTGCCTAAAGGGTAGTTTAATCGTCACGGAATGTATCTTGTCTTTTGGACCCGAATCTTGGTTAGCTATAACCTCATTAAAACGCTTCTATTTTCATATTTTCCTACATTCAAATCTTTGCTATTCACCTTTGTCAATTGATTCTGCACAGGGTTAACATCGAACGTTCTACTTTGGAGACAAGTGAGCTCAGCACCTCCTGCATCAATCAGGCATTTTTTTACACGTGTTTTAACGCGACAATTTACACGTATCACGTAACATTTGCGGAGTCATGAACCGCAACCGTCTTTGTTTATTCTTGCCCTTTGTGCAGCAGTCGCTTTTACCGGATGTTAATCATCTGAATATTTAACAACCCATTCCAGAAAACCTGTACATTTAGTTAGTCTCATCGCAGCCGGTGACCTCTGTGCTTTCTGCCGCAAAGAAAAGAGCATGCTCCAAAGGTTAATGTTACCATTCTGTATAGTACTGTTGGCATCGATGTTACCCTGCATTCGTTTGTCCAATGTGCTGATGTTGCAAGGACATTTACAAGGAGCTCTAGAGGAGCCCCTCGAGGGGATTTGGCCTATTCTTCCACGCTGGCCAGACGTCTTCGAAGAGGTGGGACTACCCACACGTTACTTCGCCACACACGACCTGCCGGGCGACTCACTGCGGTGTACTGGAGTGGGCGGGCTGGAGGAGGTGAAATTTAAGTAACGTGGCTATTTCAAGTCCCTCGCCAGGAGGTCGAATTGGCGACCTCTGGATTTCAGTTCCGGCGTGCTAACCATAACACCACGGCAGTACCCCTACGAATAAATAACTCCGTAAAGTACTATGCATTATGTTCAATAATTTACGTACGTGTGTATGGTGAATGTCTTTCGCATTGTACTTAGCCACCTGTGCTAATTGGTGGCGTGATTGTTTCCACAATTAGCTGCAGACACTGGATAGTAGTAATGCCCCTTTACGTGAAACGGCCAGAGACAGTGGTGAGTGCATGCTGTGTACTGTTCTAGCAAAGCACCTTGCATTAGTCATTGGGAGGAAGCAATGAAAAGGATTTAGAATGAGATGCTAAACATAGAGTTACAACAACAAAATAGCGAAACGGCTGATCACGCTTGTGTTCAAATCATTAGAATGCATGTGTTTAAAAATGGTAAGTAAAAAAAATGACACCGATGAAAATAACAGTACATTTTATATTATGCTTTATAGCAACGGCTGTAAATACAATCGACTGAAATATTGTGCAAGAGGACATTCTGTCCTAAAGTCTGTTTACTTAGTGGTGAGCCACAAGGTTCTGGAAAGAGTGCTAAACTTAACTTTTTTCCAGGGGCTCCAATGTAAAGTGGCACTCGATTTAAATGTCGAAAAGTACTTTCTTTACTTAAAAAACCCAAAAGGGCTCTTTCAAAGTTACACATTCACGGATGTTCCCCCGCCTGTTCAAGTTTCTTCCGATCTTGACCCTGCGTGCCAAGTGGTGCGCACAGCGTCTCTTCAGGGCACGCACAGGACTAAGGAGCTGTGCTGTCTTTGTTTGAGGACAGCATCGCTCTTGGTGACTCGGCTATTGGCCGCCATTGTGACTCCTTGTCTCTATTTAAAGCACCGTCTGTTATTTGACCTCGACAGAGGAGGCCAACGGGATTAAGATCATTTGTAATCATTTTTTGGGTTAGACCACGTAATAATGATGTGACCAAATTTGTCGTAAAAGACCCTGTACCACCTGACATCCAAACAAATCTCCACAGGTTTAATGTGCCAATTTAAGAACGTGTAAAGCCCTTGTCAAAAAAGGCTGAACATGTGTAATAACTACACTACTATATTAATGTAACCAGGGTGCGACGGTGTAGCACCGGGCTGATTATAAGTAATATTTTCTTGTTAAGAAAGTTTCAGAATTATCTACAAGATATGAACTATCACGAAAGGGGCTGCTTATGGTGTAAGTACAGGGGAAGCAAGAGAAAGGTGGAGAGATACAGAGCTGTATAAAAGGTTAAACATTAGCTGGCGGGCTGGGAGGTTTATGTCCTCGGGGTGTTGTGGGTTGCTAATCCTTCTTTTTTTAAATGCTCAAGGTTATAGAATATTCTTGCGAGTGCAAACATAATTTTGTATGCTTTGCACGTACCCTATAGTCCATAAGTGGATAGACTATGCATGATGCAAACCAGGATGTATTTTGCTTTAAATATCCTAATAGTGGTCACTTGGATTTACATTTTTTTTTTAAATCCAAAGAAAACAATGTAAAATACGCTCGGTACACATGTTATCTGAAAAAAAAAATTTTCAGTGAGCTTAAAAAAACAGTTGCATCCGTATGCATTCAAAGAAGTACAGTTTACTTCAGGGCTATTTTATTACGTAACGATTTTCACTGCGTAAAATAGCGATATAATATATATTAGTATCATTTGGGAGACGGTGATGCCATGGTAACATTTGTGCCCTCACTGCCAAGAAGAACCTGAATTTGATTCCCAACTCGGGTGCCCCTCTATGTGGATTCAGCATATTTTTCTTCCTTTTCTGAATGGGCTTTCTCCGGGTTCTCCAATTTCTTTCCAAAGACAAAAAACATACAACATAATTGACATTGCCCAGTAATTATTAATACATTTCCACGAGATGTTAAACGATGCAATATATGTGTCGTGACATAGGATTGGTCACTACGTAGCATAGCGCTGGCTGCTGGCACGGAAGGGGATCTGCAGAGTGAAGCAGCCCTGACTAACAGCAGGCCACGTGACAGACCCGAGAGGGATCCAGGGTAAAGGTTACGGGGGGGGGGACGTCGAGAGCCCGCTAGTAGGTTCCAGAAGGGGGGCTTGGACGAGGGGGAGCGAAGCCACGCTAGCAGGATAAAAGGGGACCCTGAGCGGGGGAATCGGGGCCGTCGTTTGGAGTGGGATCCCCTCGTCGTCATCGTCATTGCTGCCGCCTTTGCCGCTGTCGTCGTCCACTTGATAATTGCGCTGCTAGCAGTAGTTGGCTGTCTTAGTTCAGCGCCGTCAGTGTCAGACAGCTAGCGTTGTGTTGTAGGCTAGCAACCAGATTAGCGTTGCGTTTAAGCGAGTGACAGAGTTGTGAAACAGCAGAGAGTGTGTAACAGTTTGCTTGGTGTTTAATGAAAGAATTGCCTCCAAGAAGTTACGTCTCCAAGTCAGTCACTACATATGTGTTGATTATTATGCTCATTATACATCCACCACATCGCATGTGATTTTTTTGTGTTGTGCAAAATTTGTTCATGGTACCCCTTGCAGCCACCAACGGTTACTACAATTGCCAGTGTTGTAAAAGAACAAACTTGCGAATCAAATCATGATCCCATAGTGGGGGATAATCATTAGACCTCTATTTTACATGCGTTTTACATTTTGTCTGCTTATTTAAAAATGTAGCTCTATAATGGTAATAACCACTGAAATAAATCACCAACACTTCATCATTTTTGTTGTTGCCAAATAATTGCACACTTAACAAAAAACACTGAACACATTCGTCAACAATACTGGCCTTATAACAATAAAATATATAATGGGTGACGTTTTGAGCAATGGCCCTTCTACATAGCATATAAACGGAGGCCAGAGAGATAGCATGCATAAAGGTGAGAGACTGCACTTAACATCATGGGGCCTGATAAGGATTAAATGTTAAGATGCTTTCAGATTTTTAAATTGGCATATGAATAGTTATCTGATCGTAGCTATTGAGTAACAGAATAATCCAACAGTCATCTAAATTATTACTAAATAACCCCCATTAATCTTACACGGAATATTATAAAAGTTTCTGACACATTGCATTGTGGGTATATTTGTTTGCTGAGAGAAGGGACAGTCCACCCAGCAGTCTATTCCTGGGCCTGATTACCATTTCAGTAACAGGTCCCTGCAGGGTGGGCTGGTAGGACAAGTCTCTGCGCTGTCTATTGCTGATTTTACACCCAACAGCACGAGATTTCACTTCGTTAAAGTATTGAAAGGGGACGGACGGACGGACACATTAATCTATTGCAGGCTGGTACACTCAGTTTACAACTTCGCTCCTACCAGTATTAGGAGTTCAACTGTCCTTCATTCAATGGGAAGTACACATGAAAATAAAATTAAACAAAACATTGATCATGTTTATATTCTTAGTTTTTTCGGTAAAGTCACGTTGAAGAGAAACAACAAAATATATATAAAACAATAAAAAATTCTCACGACGTTTCGACCATAACTCAAACGGTCATCATCAGGTGTGTTGGTTTGCATAAATTTATTTTTAAAAACGGCACATAAAAATAAATTTATGCAAACCAACACACCTGATGATGACCGTTTGAGTTATGGTCGAAACGTCGTGAGAATTTTTTATTGTTTTATATATAATTTGTTATTTTGTTGTTTCTCTTCAACGTGACTTTACCGAAAAAACTAAGAATATGAATTACTGCAGTCACGAAAGCTTTAAATCAAAATTGATCATGTTTGTCGAGCATTCAATAATAAAGTTACGTTGTAAGTGAAGCATTCATTCAATCCTGCCAGTAGAACAGTATTCAATTTAAATAGAAGGCAGCCCTTTTTGACCTTTGGTTTCTTTCCCCCAAAAGATCACAACAAGGCCAAGGACCGACATGTCACTCGGGCTGTGGTCGCCGCTGTTGAAATGACGAGCCACTGGTGTGGACATCACCAAAGCTATTACCGAGCCGTTGACCAGTTTCTCCAAAAGATTGGAGGTAGCGGCGTTTGAACATTATGCAATCAGCCAGATTGGTGCAGGTGCATCTAATACCTATGGTGCATCACAAATTATGCTCTGGTTGTTATTATCCACATATCAGTTGATATGAATATATACTTAAAGTTTATTGAGTTAAACTTTTAGTTTTATACTAAGCTGCATTTAGCTCATGAGTTTTCAGAGTTTTCCACATATCACCCATACATTCAGTATTTGGGCATGCACCTTATACCAAAAGACGCAGCTGATGATTTAATGATGACGTGGCAGACCCGGACTAAGGCATTGAGACCACCCCCAGCAATAGAGAGAGATCTTGCGTTTGTGTGCCCCTGCTTGTGCTTCCAGGTTGCCGCGATGATAATCCCGAGGACCAGGGCGTCCTTCTTCAGCCTTGTGTGTGGCGCCAGCGTGGGCTTTGCGCTGAGCTACCTTCTGCTGGCGGTGTACACGCTGGACCGCACGGAGGAGCGCGAGCGCACGCCCGTGGTTATGCTGCCGAACAACCCTCACGACCCGCACCCGGAGGGTCGTGCCAGCGACGAAGATGGCAATGCGCCACAGGGGCAGATGAAATTCCACATCCATGACGGCGATCACAATGGTGCGTCAGCTGCATCCGCCCCCCATGCCCATTGAAGCTGCCACGGAGGCGGCACGACCTAAGGTCTTGGCCCAAGTTAGCGGTAGCTGATTCTTTTCCACCGGAACATCTGAACTAAGCCAGCACCGGACCCTCACGGTACAGGCAAATTAATGCTGTATTTTTTTTCTGTGATGAACCATAATCAATCCGTGATTACGCTAGCCTCACAAGACATCTGAATCTTACTCGGGGGACCAAGCAGGGGCAAGGTCGGGGCTAACGACGCGTTCAGTACGTGTGATATGAGAATATAGGGCTGCCGCATCATCTACTTGCATCTCGACACGTTCGTTGTATGTGACGTGAGCAGCACGGCTCTGCTTCCGCAATGGGAAATTGGAACCTCTATATCTGCGCCGGGCTGGCTTGGTTTGGCCCTGGCACGTTATGGTTGTGCAGAGGGAAAAGAGATGGTAGGGGGTTGCCATATGGTCAGTGGGTGGTGTCTGGGACAGATTGTGAGTTTTCCATTTGATCATCTACATTTGTCGGATGATCAAATCGCCCAGAATATAATCGAATCTCAGGAGCTAAGCTAGATTGTGCCCGATTAGTGCTTGGATGGGTGACTACCACGTTTCGACAGGTCATTTGGCAGCAGAAGGTAGCACAGCAGAAGGTCGCGCAGCAAAATCCATTGTTGTACTTTGCTTATGTGCTCCCACTTCTTTGCTCCCCAGCATGGTGAAGTATGGTCAAATAACCCCTACTACCCACACGTTGTGGGGAGGCCCTCATATAGCAGTGGATTTGCAAAAAAGGGCTGTACATTAATCCTCCGTAAAACAGCAACTCAGACAACATTACAGCTAAATATGGACTATCCGATGATGCAAGTATTGTAATAAAGTATGGATTGTTCAATCGTTCAACTAATTACGTAGCATAAATAGTTCCCATGTATGCAGCTTGAACGGAGGTGATCAGAGGGGCTTGCTCACATCATTGGCATCATTAGCCACATAACGCTTGGCATTGCTTGCAGAGGGCTTCTCGCCTCTGGAAGGCAAAGTGTGGGGACCCGCATACCGGACTACAAAGGGAGTAGTCCGTTACATTGTTCTTGGTCAATCATGTATGTGTACATGTTGAAATTCTTTCGCACCTTACGTAGACAACCGTGCATATCAGAGGTGCGAAATTAATCGGTCTCAAGCGATTGTATGCGACGAAATTCCGCTGCGTAACTACCACCACCGCTGCTGTGCGCACCGCCCTGCAGAGGAGGACATGAGCCAGATGCAGGAGCTGCGCCGCCGTGTGCGCGTCCTCTGCTGGGTGATGACGGGCCCCCAGAACCTAGAGAAGAAGGCGCGCCACTTGCGCGCCACCTGGACCAGGGCCTGCGACAAAGTGCTCTTCATGAGCTCCGAGGAAGACAAGGATCTCCCCGCCGTGGGGCTGCACACCAAGGAGGGGCGAGACCAGCTCTACTGGAAGACGATCAGGGCCTTCCAGTACGTGCACGAGCACCACCTTGGCGACGCCGACTGGTTCTTGAAAGCGGACGACGACACCTACGTCATCGTCGACAACCTGAGGTGAGGGCGGCAGTGGCGGCGCTTCCCGTTCGGTTGCCGCCAATTCTCGCGGGAGTGCTGCGACGTTGTGGTGTGCCGTCTATGAATTCGTCTTGGTGCAAGAAAGCCAACACGTTCGTCAGCAACGTGGTGGGCCTAAAAGGAAAACTATATAGTTTGTGACTTTTTTGGGCAGTGTCCCTTATTAGCAGAGATTAAAAGTGCCATGACATTAAACATCACCTATCTCGCCATTACGAAAAGGGGATTTCGCCCACAACGTCATCTGTATCTACATGTATATTTTTTATTTATGGAAGTATTATTGACGAATGGATGATGTGCGGACTGCAATTTATATGTAAGTTTTCACAACCAATATTATTCATGATTGGTATGTTTTGGGTTCAGTTGGGGAAATGTGTGCCATAAAACCCTCCTCCATGCTCTATCTGAGCTCCTGTTAACCTGATGATGCTGGATGTGATCCCCAGCGGAACGTCGTACCCATATCAATGTCGGGAGATTACTCTACAAAACACACCGCTGGTGCTGCTGAAGCAGAAATACATTTGGCATGTTTTATTCATGTGACACTGTCATTAATTGGCTGTGTCGGGTGGACGAGGGTTGACAACACAATTTTTTACACAAACGAACTAAAAAAAACGAATTATGAACTTAAGTAATATTCACACTGGAAGTACATCAAAGCACAAAAACAATCTAACACAAATGTGAAAGTTACAGGAAACTGAAATCATGATAATTTCCATAACGTGCAGTGTAGTACGATATGTCATCATATTGTGAAAAATGATATTGCCGCAACCATTTATCTGATCATTTGTTCTTCTGTGCTGCACGCGGTTGGCCTGTGAAAGATGTGTACTTTCGACCGGCTGCGGTCAGAATGATCCGCTTAAAGGATTTATCGGAGCCCGAAGTTGAACATGGCGTTCAACAAGTCTTTCCAAGTTTGTTGACTTACTGAAAAAAAGTTGCTCATATTGAAAAAAACGTACAACCCTTTGTAAATCCTCTGCTTTCGTAAAGGGGTTGTTTGACCATACTTCACCACGCTGGTGAGTGCGGCTTGATGAAGAGGTGGAGGCCCAGGACCGGTTCAGATCTGGTCCGCTATTAACGCGGCCGGCAATCGAACTTGGGTAGCATCATGGTGAAGTGCGCTCTCCACTGCTACCTCTCCAGCCCTATTCCTGTAAACTCACATTTAAACAGTCGGTGGTTATTTAGATACGCATTTTTCCCAAACGCCCGCTTGCCTGCGTGCATGCACCCATCCCATCGAACCCACCAGACTGATGCTGAGCAACTACACGCCCGAGCAACCCATCTACTTCGGGCGCCGCTTCAAGCCCTTCGTGAAGCAGGGCTACATGAGCGGCGGCGCAGGCTACGTGCTCAGCAAGGAGGCGCTCGTCCGCTTCGTAGACGCTTTCGCCAAGGGCAAGTGCACACACACGAGCTCGGTGGAGGACCTGGCGATCGGCTCGTGCCTCGAGAAGATTGGGGTGGCGGCGGGCGACTCGCGCGACTCTGCCGCGCGCGACACATTCCACCCGTTTGTGCCTGAGCACCACCTCATCGCCAACTACCTGCCCAAGTCATTCTGGTACTGGAAATACTGCTTCTACCCAGCAGTGGAGGTGAGCGCTGATTAAGCCGTTGTCCTTCATCTACTCCCCGCCCGCCCGGCACATCCCGATTAGTGCGGTTGGCTACGTGTAGCGTGAAATAAATTCAACACACGGCTGTGCAAGGGGACCTCCCCACAGGAGGTACGGATGGTGTTGTGGGTTTTTTTTCACCTCGCCACAGTTGCAAAGCGCAGGCCCAAAGGCCCACAAACAGCAAGCTGACAGCAACAAACAGCACCCATTAATGTTGCAAGAAGCAGGTTTCTTTCCACCTCAGCTCACAGGTATTTTTAAAAAAACTGATGGTAGGGTACCAGAACTCAGATTACGTCTAGGATGTCGGGACGTGTGCTGCCTTGTCTCAATCCACGGCTGGATGAAGGGTCTCGTACAGTGCTGTGTGTTCTGGACTATCTTACACGAGTTCGAACAAAGACTTTAATGATATAGATAATTTAAACAACATACAAGGCGAAGAATACAAAAAAAGACAACGTATGATGTCGACTTTAATCCAGGTTGTGTCAGTTCATCTGGAGTTTTGCATTACACGCTTAGTAGCATATGGTATCTGTTGAGCAAGCGGTGCACTCTGAAGATTAATCTTCATTAACTCTTCACATGCAAGTAGTTAAACCCCGTGGATTAACCCCACGTGTGCAAAGCCCTTTTATCAACAATCATCTTTTAATCCCGTCCACGTTGTTTGAACTCAGCAGATGACCATTTGTAAAATGCCAATTCTATTTGAAGGCTACTTTGTCGCCACGGAGAGGATGGTCATAAGTTATTGTCAAAAGTTCGCAATAAATTAAAATGTCCGTGTACCTTGCACACATTTTATCAAGGAATAAATTCAAATCGGAGATGAAGTGACTGTTACAGTAAAAGTAAGCGAACGTAGACTAGAGACAGAATGGCAGCCAACCAACCACAGAGATAGATCAACTAGTATGCAGGAGTGGGATGGGTTATGGCATAGAAATATTCCGAGAGATGGCTAAAGAGACCTTAATCCGGTCGTCGTTGGATTATGGATCATGGTCGCGATGAGGATACTCCATGCATCAATGTTATGATTTATCTTTATTTTCATTGTTAATCATAATCATTAAACATAATTACAGTCTACTTGTAAATAAATGGCTCTCCACCAATGGGAGGAAGTCATATGGGCCTTCCTTTCAATGAAGTTACATTTATGTTTTTTTAGCTGGCAAATTCTGGGCCAGTTTTGACTTTGGTCAAATCAGCAGTCAGACCTAAACGCGCTGACGTGTGTACAAATGTTATTGGCATGAGCCATCAACTTAAAGTTATGGGTACCCTTATAATAAGATAATTATTGTTGTTTTTTCTTCTCCAACAGGGCCCACAATGCTGCTCCGACTTCACCATCTCATTCCACTACGTGAGCCCCACGTGGATGTACATCCTGGAGTACTTTGCCTACCACCTGCGTCCGTATGGCTACAGGTACCGCTTCCAGCCCGTGCTGTCCAACATCGGGCACAGTAAGGACGTGGCGCTGGCAGAGCCGAAGGACGAGGGCAACTTGAGGCTGCCAGACGTGCAGAGGAAAGATGACGCGCCTGCTGTCGACGACAATGCGATAGACGGAGGAGGAGGAGGAGAACCTCGGGTGAAGGGCAACGGTGAGAAGAAGCTGCCAGCGGCAGTTGCCCCAGAGAAGTCGAGAGACACCTCGAAGAAGATTTCTAACGTTATCGAGGACATTGTGGAAGACAAAAAGGCGGCTGACGCGAATGAGCAAAAGAAGATAAGATAGAACGTGGAGATTATCTGGCTTATAGGAGAACAATGTGAAGGATAATTATAAAAGGACTGATCACAATAACAAACAAAAAACCTACAAATTTAATGAGAAAGAGACTAATTGTATGGGTTGAGTGGTTTACATTCTTTTTCTTATTTTAAAATATTTTGATACTAAAATGTTATACATTGTCTCTTGAGGTGGTTCGTAAAGTGAAGGTTGATGCTGTGGTTTGAATGTAATTAAATAGCGTCCAGTTAAAGGTGATCTTCTGAGCATGCTCCTGTATCAGTTTTAACACTTCTTGACTACCAGTTCACGTAAATAATTTGTTATATTATCATTGTCAACTAAGCTCAACTTGTTCAAATTATTGTAGCTGTCATCATAGCGGCACCTCACTGCCTATGCTGCGTGGTTATTGAGCGTTAACAAGTTCTGAAAAATGAATGACTCAAGTACAGCAGCTCAATAGTACAAATTTATATTCCTGGTTAAAACATTTTTTTATCTGCACTCTTGTTTATTCTGCCAGTAATCGGTCATGTCAAACACACACCTCCCTTAAGACCGAAACAGGAAGACTGCTTATCAATTTTGTTTACGTGACAAACCTTGTCTCATTGGCTGTCGGGTGGTGGTGGGTTTAACGACACATTTACACAATCTAACCCAAAAAAAAACCTTTATTATGGATATTGGTCGCGAAAGGCCTACGTGTTAAACTGACATTTCCCTCTTGTGTAAAGAAATCTCCATATCATCATCACTCGTGGGAACTTCTAGGAACAGCCGAATAGTCTAAACACAAGTTCATTTTAAATGTGAAGGGGAAACTGGAGGATCCGAAGAAGATGCACGCGACAACCACGGGGGTGGGGGGGGAGGAGAACGCGCTAACTCCATATGTACAGGCATCGGGATCAAACCCACGATTTCCTGCATATACCAGGCAAGGGGAGATATAATCTCGCCACCTCGGCGTGAATTTGAATGCGTAAATATTGGCAGCCGCTTATAATCTAAATGTGGTTTTCCAGGTTGGGATGGATTTGAGGATTTATTCTCTTCAACTCCTGATGTTGCCCGCAGGCATTGTAGGTGGCGAACGGTCAATAGAATCGTAAATGAAAATGCAGCCCAACCTGAATAATCCCACTCCGATTGTGATTATATTAACTATGTATGTTTGTGTAACTCTGTTTACCTTGCCATCCAGTTTGATTGATTATATCAGTTTAGTCGGCTTGCAACAGTCATCCCCCCTGAAGTATGCAATGTGATTTGTGAGTCATGAAACGTATTTTGTACAGTACAATTGAATTTCAAAAATGCAGGGCTCTATTCTGGCTTTTCATTGCAGCTTGTGTGAAATATTATTACTCTCTCCAAAAGACACTTGATGTCAGTAACACTTCCACATTTTTGCTCTGTTGCCTGAATGTTAAATAAGTCAATACAAATAACCTTTTTCACAGGCTTACACATTACCTGTACATATTGTATATTTCAGTTTGCAGACAATCAGTGTACAAGTACACCATGTAGTGTCCCATCCATATCTAGGAGTGATGGTTGTCGAATTCTTCTTGGTTGATTTTTTGAAGTGTGCATTTTAGTCGGCGATTGCTCGTGGTACTTCGGCGGAAGTGTCTGATGGACAACAACACCCATGTCCACTGTCATTCGCATTCTGTCCCAAATGCATTGTCAACCACTAAAGAGATAATCTGTATACCGTTTCGTGTGTAGCAAAGCAGAAGAAGTCAACGATGTCAACAAACTTGCCGGGCCCCCCCCCCCCTCCCCCCTTTTGCTGCTCTTTGTAGTATTGTGATCATCCGGGTGGTGTGCCGATCAAATTCTGCCCACCTACAAATAAGTGCCTGCTATAGAAGCACTTAGCACCTAAAAACACATCTGTGGGCTTTTTGACTCTTGGGTCCTTTGGGGGATATTTATAGCTTTTGAATAATCGTCTCGCGTGGTTTGTACGTTTTTGTAGCATGCGTATTACTTGAATACATGGAAATGCCTTTAGATCAGCCATTGGGATAAGGAGTCTGGTGTGCCGTTTCATTTTTTTTTGCAGGTCCCACAGTTTGAGCGATTCCTTTGGTTGTGCTGCACTCGTATAAAACTGGGACGTGCGTCACATCAAGCGTGCGCTGTGTGCCGTCATGTGGTTGGGAGAAATGTGGCGTTTTAATGTGTTCAGTCCCCGCTGTGGAGGGCTGTGGAGGGGAGTGTTCGTGTCTGCGCGCACCCGGGCGTGACCCACTGATCTTGAATAGAAGCAACTTGATCCTCAAGTTTTATGGGTTGGTTGGCCTCGGTGGTACGAGTGTGTTTGAATATCACCCATGTGTAACGGTGCGTCCTTTTGGGACATTCTTTAGCCGGTTTCGGTCGAAACTCGAAAACCTATCTCGCATCACTGTTTAAATTACGGTGGGGCCCCTCTTTCACGCGACGCCCCAAATGACCGTGCACGGAACACAACCAGTATATTTAAGATGTACAGTGTTTACTTAGAATGTTATCTCTACACAAAATCTTACATTGTTAAAAGGGCAACAGGCCTACTAGTCTGGGAGTGCACGCATCACAAATGACCCTCACAACAACCAACAGTCACACAACCCGGCAACCACGGCCTCACCGACTTCCTTCACCACGGACGCTGGTGGGAGAAAACTGCTGAGCAAAATCCCAAAAGGCACGTACGAAACACCACCTCGAGCCGGATCAGTCCCAGCCACGTAAAGCCAGATCAGCACCCCCAGCCACCTCGAGCAGGGTCAGCCCCAAGCACAGCACCCGCCTCGAACAGGCTGAGGCGCAGAATGAAATCCACCCCCTGCCCCTCTCTTGGTTCCCCGCGGCGGCGCCCTTTATTGAGTCAAACCCTTGGGCCCTTCCCCCATTTGATGAGAACGACGTGCCCATGAGTCCAAACCCCCGTGCCCACGAGCCAATCCAACAATCCAATCCCACACACCTGCAAACCACTTTCACACAAAGCCCCCCCCCCTCCGAGTCCCTCGCTTCTCCCCATTCAAAGAAACACCCTGCCCCCCAATGCTATCACTCTGACTGCCACGTCATGGATCAAAACTTGAAAACAAATGTGGGTGTATTATGGCATATTGTCGCGTTTCTTGATTTTCCACCCGACGTAGACTCATACAATATTAAAACGTGAATGCAAATGCAACGGTGAGCGATCAGTTTTAGTTGACGGTGTTTGTTATGCGCAGTGTGCAAAATTAACGTATTGAAGTGTCCCTCCTCCCCCCTTGCCTATCTTGTTTTCCTGACAATTGCAGATTCGCCGCTTCGTTAGCGGAGGAGCGCATTGTTTTCTAGTCCTGTGTCGCTAGGCGAGTGAAGTCGCGTTCACGTCGCCAGTTTGCGTTTGTATTTTAAATCGGCCAGTGCCGGAGACGGTGGTGAAATGAGTCGATGCTTTTACAATTAATGTATAATGGGGCGCTTTTTGTCCCCAAGTCTGCCTTAATTTACCAATGTACACATATTGCACAGGACTGCAGGCACAGAATATACCAGAGAATAAGCATGCCATGCTCATCATGAACATTGGTGTTTGTCCAGCCTTATGTTCTGTTTGTCTGAACTACCCTCGTTGGATTATTGTATTACATCGTAACAAAGGTTTTCATCGGTTGCCTTTCCCTCTGTAAATAATTAAAAGAGTAACATGCAATGCTAAGAACATTGCACTTATAAAACGCCTATGTGTGGAACAGTGATACATTCCTCGTTTATTACAACATGCGCATAATCGCTCATGTAAAACACGATGTTTTGTTTTTTTACTTGCTCGCGTTGTAATCCGTTTGTGTCTGCTGCAAACACAGGATGTGTCGTCATTCATTAAAATGATTAAGCAAGTAATTAGTTAATGGTATTGTGATCCTGAATCTCAAGAAATGTATTTGTGGTGGGTGAGAGGGGGAGTGAATTACATCCCTAGTAATAAATATACAGCTTGCATTGTCAACAAAATTAAGTCGATAAAAAACTAATCCTAATGTTCTGTTTATAACTCAAAATGGCAGAATGTCAATTAGCACAGTTGCCTATGTACTGTGTGAAAGAAGTTCAACGTACATACATACATGTATGCATTAATACAATTTAATTTAATCTGTCTTTATACAGATTTTCAGATATTGATTCTGGGAAAGGTATCTATGAGAACTCAAGGTGTCCTCCAGCAACTTTGATATGTGGCTGGGTTTTGGTTTTTGAGAAACGTTTGGCAAATACAAGGTCCGCTTTTTTAGTTAAGCAAGAAATGCCACCTATTGCTTCTTATTTCAATTTCAAATCAATACCTTCATTTGGTGAGTCTTATTTTTCAGTATTCTCACAATTTTATGTGTGTCCTGTATTGTTGTGGCACTGGTGGCAGCTGTTTGAGCATAATCTCCATTACCATCTTGTGCCTCTTTAACCCTTTTGTGATGGTGGATTTGCCATTGGTTTTTGGCACACAGTTTCGCAGTCCCCACACTTTGTTCTTTTAGTTATGGCGAGATGAGTTCTAAATCGTGCTCCTCGAACATTGCCTTTGTTGTAACATGTGCTTTTTTTGGCCATTCGCAATAGTTCTCCCCAATGTGTGTTTGTTATGCGCAGCATATATATTTAAAAAATGCTGTACATATGACATGTGAGAGGCAGTCAAGCGGTTTTGAAAATGGGACATTAAATGTATTGGGCGCATAACGATTCGATTAATTGTCACGATTCTTGGTGTTGACTTGACTCAAGGATCGATTCTTACACGCACATCCTGAGCGTCTTCAGTCGATTTTTAACCTATGGATAATTGCACATACAAAACTGTTATATAGCTTTTAGCTCTTCAATAGACAGGACTACATCTACTGTTGGCACAACGTTTAACATCGCTGTGTGCTGATTATTATTTTCTGTGATAAGCACATAAATGCCGAGTGTACTTTCAGATTCTCATTCCCAAAGGGGTTTTGGTGGCTCCATTGTACGCGTATGTTAATCTTTAGATGCTGGCCAGGGATTGTGCTATGTACATATGTAATGTATGTGTATCCCAGAGATTGATGTAAATTCAGTTGTGTGGAGCCACCTTGCCCCCTGGACTGCAAGCCCGGCGATCTTCATTGGTCACGTGTTTACACGTGTACTAAATGGCCTGCCGTCCATTCTGCTGTTGCTTTCTGCACTGATTGAGCACAGGTTAATTAAAGAAAATAACGGACACAAACAGGAACTTTGTTTGTTCTGAGGTGAGTTTTTTGTGTGTGTGTCCTGGCGGAGCTTGACGGACACAAGTGTAGTGTGTCACTTCAGAGACACTAATCATAGGAGGCATACACCTTTATTCTACACTTTCCACAGTATAGGGGATAACTATATATGGGTCAGGACAGCCGGCACACTGCCTGACCCAACACCGACGAGGAGGGCGTAGACTTCGTAGACGACGGCTCCATTCCCAAACCGCAGCAGCCCCGACCCAGCCTCAGGGCCTCCCTTTTATCCTCCCCAGTGTGGCCTGGCTTCGCCCTCGGCCACGCCCCCTTCTGGAACCTACCAGAAAGTTCTGGACTCTGCCTCACGTGTCCCCTATGTCACCTTTACCCTACATCCGTGCCTTTCACGTGCCCTACTGGCAGACCGGTCGCTTGTGTCCTCAAATGCCCTTCACTGCCAGCGACCGGCACTGCAGTGGCACACTTCACCTGCCCTGCTGGTAGACCGGGCTATTACATCCACGATCCCGCTCTCTACCAGTAACCAGCGCTACGCGCCGTAGTAACCCATTCTCTGTCACGACACATGTTTAACGTTCATTGCGTGACCTCCCGTGCTCTCCAGTAATACGGTAAAGCAATCAAGCTCGCTTTCCACTCGCACTGGTGACAGCGTGAATCTTGATTTTTACAGAGTCAATATTAAACAAGACTGAGCATGTCGGTGTTGGGGGAATTCATACAGAGTTTTTTTTTTATGCAACAAGAGAACACGAGCTTAAAAAAATAGTTATATATTTAAACACAATTATGATGGACTGGGTATGAGAGGTTCTTGTGGTTGAGTGTCATTTGATATAATTTTAATGCCATGACCCAGAAGCAACATGCAGCGCATGTCCAGACATCTCGTGATCGCTTCCTGGCAGAACCTGAGAACTTAGGAAAGAGTCAACACCAGCTTTGCATATTCTGCTTTGACAGGGGCACCACTATCTCAGCAGTATCTTGCCATTAGAAGCCAGTGGGACCAGGCCCTCACCAATGAAATAATTACGAACTATAACTCGTCTTTGGCTTTCCCTGCAGCATGGAGACCAAAACAGATAAAAACAATGCTGTAGCATCCATAATACAGTTTTTGTTTTGTTTTAGATTGCATACATATAAATGTATCGTTAAACCCGCCACCACCCGACACAGCCAATTAGTAAGGTTTGACTTAAAGCTTTCGTGACTGCAGGAATTCATACTCTTTGGGTCTTTGGGTAAAGTCACCGATAGACCCAAAGAGTAGTAATGTTTGTCACATTAACAGAACATGCCAATTCGTTACAAATACAGCCACCGGTGTGTTGGAGAGTAATCCAGAACATTTACAATCTGAGTACGACACGGTGGCTTCATGCTGTAGCAGCAGCAGCTTTGACCAATTCTAGATTTGTGGCTGTGTTTCACTCCAGCGCTGTCCTCAAGACAGCCTGATCCCTTCACCTGAAGAAGGCCGCTTGTGTTGTGGCCGAAACGTCGTGATTTTTGTTGTTTTATTTTTTACCTACGTGACTTTACCAAATAGAACCAAAGAGTATGGAGCTTTGACCAACTTGCCACTTCGGCTTCATTGGGAATTTACTTACTGATATTGGGGGTGCAACATGCATCGAGAATCGGATGTTTTTCGATTGGCGAAAATGGAATGGGTTAACATCACCCCTGCAGCAACTTAAGAGGCGCTACCATTTGCCGCTTGTACAAATTTAAACAATCGATTCTTCAACAGAATTGCAACACCGAGTCGGGACAATGTACTGCTGGGGTCGGAGGATAAATAATTTCACGTGTCCTTTGGAGCCTTTAGTACAAAGATAAATCTTTAATGCGACCTGCGCATATAGTAAAATTATAATATGAAAATATAATTTATTTAGCTCCATAACATGGCAAGCCATTACAAGGGCGCTGCTTGTAACTACTTTGTGATCTACACTCATTTGGTTTGTAATGCTTTGTTGTTTCCAAATTGAAGGTGAATCGTCTTCTCAGGTCTTCACCTTTGTGCGCTTTAGATGGAAGTTGGTATATTCTTACATGCATAAGGGGGGGGGGGTCCTAAATTTAATGCCTAAACAAAGAATGAAGCTCTTTCACAGTGGCTTAACATGTCAGTGCCTGACAAGCAGTGCAAGACTGACCTTTGCGTGTTGAGAGTAATGAAAAAGAAAAGACTGTGGTTATGATGAGATTAAAAACTTAACCGCAGTGAACACAGTATTTTCGTGCAAGAAATGTTTCCGTTTTTTTTTGTTCCTCTTGAAGGCGATGTGGTGTTATTCACATGAAGCGCCGCTCCGTTGCGCGACGCGTCGAGTCCACATTTGCACGAGTTTGTCATTCAAGTCGATGCGACCTGTCAGTGCGTGTCTTCTGCCGTGGATTGGCGATGTTTTTCGGGTGCTTGGCGCAAGGCCGTAGCCAATATTGGGGGGGGGGACCAGATCTTCCAAGGGATCTGGGGGTCCCCCCCCCCCCCAGAAAAAAATAATCTAAATTTGAAAACGAATTTCCTGCCTAAAATGTTAAAAAAAATTCACTAACATAGGATGGACTTTTTTATTTTTAACAATGTCTAATTGTGTATTGTATTACATTGCTCTGTTTTACCTTTTCTTGTTTCATTGTATGTAATGGCAGAGATTAAGGATTAATAAAGTACAACCATAACCACAATCATATAAACAGAAATCTATTTTATAGCTATATATTGGGGGGGGGGGGGACATTTTGAGCATATTTGAATATTGGGGGATGTGTCCCCCCCCCCCAATATATTATAATTACGGCCTTGGCTTGGCGAATCATTTACCGGGCGGGATCACGGGAGGTGGCAGCGGCTTGGGGAGAGGCCTTCATCCAGCAGTGGATTCACTGTGACGGACAACGTTGATGGTTGAAATTCAATCACGGCAATGATTTCGAGCCGTTTGGCAAACCACTGCACAAGGGATGCCTTCTCATGCCGTGTTGGTCATAGGGATTGTTGTTTTTACTTCACACGCCATACTTCACCATATTGATTCTTGTGGGCTGGTGAAGGGGGTGGCGGGCGGGCGGGCGGGCGGGCGGGCGGAGGGGGAGCAAGATGGTATTCAGATATCGCTCGCCGGGAATCAAACTCGGAATTTTTCTGGTTCGTATTGCAGTGTGTGACATCCCCCACCCCCTGCCCCATGCCAGTGCAGGTAATGGGAAAATAAACATTTACTTGTTGCACACAACCAGTGCCTACGATTTTGGCGTACAACCGTGCATTCAAGACGACCTCGTCAAATCGATATTTTAACTCAAAGTTGTTGTTGTTGTTTTTGCTTTGTATCTCCATACGAAGCCGAGAGCGTGGCTCGTGTGAAAGTGCAATGCACGTTCAGTTGAAGCTTTTGATGTTGCTGTATTGCTATAGGGACATTGAACATGTTCATTTGTAACCTGATTTTACGTGCAACACTTTCAAAAAATAAATCATATTTTAATTGTTTTTTTCGATCTGTTGTGACAATTGCAAAGAAAAGTATGTGGGAAATACGCCTGTAAATTGTTGATAGTTTTATATAGGATGGTGATATTGGGTGACTGCCGCATTGTAACACACACCAAATGTATGATTTGGGGTGTCTGAAGTGTTTGTAGCAAGTGAATGCAAAAATCATGTTGGTTTAATCACCTTTTGTAGACTGATATTTCTTCATTCGACGTGGTGGCTGAAAGTACAGATTTATATAAATTCAACAATGAAAAAATGCCAACAGAAAGTAACGTGTACTGTACGCGTATCCATAATACCACAATGTTTTAGTTTCGCCGTAGTGTCGCTGTTTGCGCAAATGACATCTCGCAATCGACAAGGGACCCGCCGACAAGCTGGAAGGCAACAGCGAGGCGGTGAGACAGTGCCAACAATTTCCCAACCTCTGCGGTTCTACACAGAATAATCTTTCAGCCAATGAATGAGTGTTCATGCACTCCATGTGTGTGTACATATTTATCATCGGATCTTTCAGTGCAGCACGGTTGGCTACGTACGGTGCGAAAAAAGTTCAACATACGTGCAACGATTGTCATTATATAGATATAAAACGGGGGATTTGAAAGCATGCCCACGGCGTGTTTGGAAATTGTGTTGACCATACCCCACCACGCTGGTCCGTGCGGCTTTGTGGATGGGCATGCGCTCGGCACCAAGTCAGCTATCGCTCACTCCTGATGTCAAGTTGGCTTGCACAAAACCGCAGTGCCTCAGATTCCCTTGGTTGCTGTGGAGACAGCCATACTTAACCGTGCCTTGTTCTTCTTCTTCAGTTCAGCTTAATTTCCTCCATTCAACAATCGGCTAAACAGTTTTAGTCTGTATCTTACCATTAATTGTGCAATATGGTTACTATCTTGATTTGAAGCTTTCGTGACTGCATGAATCCATACTCTTTGGTTCTTTCGGTAAAGTCACATAGATAGAAAAAATAATAGAACGTCGTGATCTATTATTTTTCTACCTACGTGACTTTACTGAAAGAGCCAAAGGGTATGGTTACGATTCCACATGCGTTCATCTACGGACGAAACAAAAAAACACCCAGTCCCAGCACGAAAGTTTACAATCGGCAAATTAACTGTTGGCAACGTGTAATAAGGCGACCACAAATTAGCCTTGAACTCCAATAGCTTTATTATATCAACACATCACAGGCATATGTACACACGAGGGCATTTCAAGTTTCACGTGTACTCTTTGTTCTGCACAACTTGGCCTAATCCAGCAGGATGTGTCTCGGCAAACGGGGCCGTGATTCCAAGGTTGGTCCTCATAGCCCTGGCCTCCCCAGGTTTTGGGGGAACCCATTGATCGGTTTGGCTGATGTGCAACACAACCTAATGCTGACATTTCATTCATATCGAAGCATCTTTAGGAGAGTTATCGTGCCCTTGACGGGAAGACAAGCAAGCGAGCAGACAGTGCTAATGCGTA